CCGTATGAACAGCTTCATACAATCCCATACGTTCTATTTTGACACATAGTTACCGCCTAGCGTTTTCGCGTCCGTGCGAACGCTCGCTTATCTTGTTACATTCTTCTAGTCTCTGGAACGTCAAGTGACACTCACTCGCAGAAAGCCGGAGGCAGATTTTTTAATTATTACACGTATTTATTATGTTATTCTCTGAACGAGCATAAAATATTCGAAAGTTTTACGTATTGATGCCAGATTCATTCTCGCTTACTGTAGATGTATTAAACGTAAGCAATAAAAATACAAGCACTCCAACGAAATTCCAAATAGTGAAAGTAACCATAACTAAGTATATCAAACTATTATCCCATATAATCAGCATTTTTCCAATGAAAAGGCGTTATAATTGTGTTACGACGATTTAAAATCATCTTTGTATAGATTTTGTTACATTTTTTCGAATTTCCACATTTACTTATTTCAATGTGTCCACCAAGGATCATTTGTTAATCCCTTTTAAGATAAAAATGTCATCGTTTATAAGAACAAATGGTAAGGGACTTGACAACAGGATTATGTTAGGCTCGTGACCTTTTCGAGAGCAGTTTTTTCGCATCGAGCAAAAACTTTGGGTCGCATTGTTAAGTTGACTGACGTATCGTTGGCTCGGACGGTCACCAATTCTATTGCTGTTTAGTGTACATACGTATTATAGTGCTACAATACAACTAAGCCACTCCTAGTATTGGGCGATCAATATCTAAAAATTGTTTATTTGCTTATATGTAGATCAGTTAAAAATTTTCAATTTTGTCATCAAGATCATGGTTTTTCGTGTAGTCTGTTTTAGGTAAAGAATTTTTTTTCTCTTCCTAGCTATAGATTCCATATCACTTAGCGTACAGAATAAACGAAATGTTTAAATAGAGTAACAATAAATTTCATCCAAAAAATTTAAACAAATATTCACGTTTCGTGTCTTTTGAGCTATACTTAATTCGACGGTTATTCAACGCATAAAGAAATGTGGATTAAAAATGTTGTACGAAAAATAAAAGTGTAGTCCTTTTAACGTCTCAGAGCAAAGTGCTTAACTTTTCTCTTAACTTAATATCATTCATACCGTTTGTGCCCCAAAATTTACGAATAAAATTCAAGTGGCGTGCTCAAACTTTTCATGTCGCTGTTTCTGTATAAAATTAGAATATAGCACGATATAATATAAAATAAAAAAAAACTAAGGCTCCTGGACGTGATGTTTATCCAGATCTTTTCTAAATTAAAAATGTCTTAAAATAATATTCATTACTTAAAATTCTATATTTTACGTAGGATATGTTTGGCTAAATTACATTTAGTCTATGTATTCTTGTAATTATACTAATTCGAATTTTATCTCTGCCTAATCTATTAGTATTGCAATAGTTGTAAAATACCGTATTGTTTAGAAAGATTGCATTATTTACTCGTACATTTAAAGTAATTCAAATACCATTTGCGTAACTAGACTTCTCGGCGCCCTGGAGATAAAATCGGAAACTTTCAAAATATTCGTATTGTAAGATTTGATTTATTACTTTTATCTCACAGTTGAAAGAAATAATACAAGCTACTTTCAATATAATGTTCTGAATGTCGTTGAATAAAGTAAACACTTATTTTTAAAAGTCTTACATGTCTAAGCTTGTACAGGTGAATTTAGATTCTCAATCAAGTATCCGTGTCGATATTTTCCCTAACGTTATCTCCCCTCTAATCAAATCAGTTCCTTTTCAGAACCTCGATCAATTTTCAGTATCGCTCGCAAATGTTACTTGTGATATTTCAAAATTTGTATACGCAGAGAGTACTAAGTAAGTGTATATATATAGTGCGTGATGATTCTATTTTTTAGCTATTGTGTTTTACGAGTTATTTCTAGTTTATAAACATTTTTGTAGAGTAATGTAATACGGAAGGTTGTATGAAAACATCCATTGAGCTGCTGAGATGCATACTTTTCCTGTTTATAAGTATTGTGGACTTGTTAAATTCTTTCACTGATTTTCCAGTATTTGTAAAGTGTACAACTAAATAGTAGTGTTGTGCTGAGTGTGTCGTGTATTATTAAAGTTCACTATAGGTATGTACTGTACTTGAACAAGTTGTGTGTGTTATCAATTAAATTGGGTTTAATATGAGGTTTATCTAAAACAACTTATTTTAACACGTAGTTAAATAAGGTTAAAATCGTAATATAAAAGAAAATATTATTCTTATAATTATTTTATCTATGTTGGTAAGAAAATGAGTTAATTTTGCTTATATTTATATATGCTTTTATTTATACTGTCGGCTGCTTAATGTTTAACAATATTAACGCTTTAATGGCTTTATAAAGTTTAACAGCCGTTATGATAGAGTTTAAAAAGAAAAAAAACTTGCGCTATTTAAGATATTGGAATATAAAATCTGTATTTATTATTTAATCACATTTTTATGTGTAAGCAAGTACTGCTATTTATGTTTAAAGCCCAATAAAAATCTACAAGGTTTTTATATAAAAAATCAAGTAGTGGCAGAGTTTTACTACACTAAATAATAAATTACTTTTTATAAAAATAAAATTCGCCGTTACATATCAAATATTGGGTGGGATACACTTTTATGCAAATCTATGGGAATCGGAAGCTTTCTTGTCCAATTCATGCGAAGAAGCGTTACCATTTTATTATTTCGTCACGTAGATGTAGGCGCAACAGGTAATATGTGGTGTAAAGGTCACGCAGGCCGAACGCCTAATTACCTTAAACGATGGTTAGTCTGTTTGTATTTCACCCTTTTGATGTGTCAAATTGTTGACAAAGTTCTAGAAGATTCGATATATTAACTGCGGTATATATAGTACAAAAGTAACTCCTATACTATAAATTAATATCATTTTAATTAATTTATACATAGCTTAGCTAAACAAACTGTTCAATGTCATTTTATATAGTCCAAAGGTTATAACTACTCGTACAACTGAAAACGCTTCATATTGAATTAGGTCAACGAAACAAAGAGAGGTACAAAAATTGTATGATACCTTCTTAAGCGTGGTACGGAAAATAATAAGACAATTTTAACTGTCTGTTTATTATCAATAACATTTATCTGTAAAGGTCATTGCCTAAAATATAAGTACTATAATTTTATCATGTCTGACCCAATTTTATAGAAATGATTTGGTAAGTTACCCCTTGATTGCAAAGTTTGATAGTCACAGTAACGAAGTGTGTCTTTACTCGCATGAAAAACTGTTAGCGAATAATCTGTTCTATTTTTCAACAGTTGATTTGCGACATTTAACCCTTAAACGATATCGTGGTTGGTGTTACCTGTGATAATGACACCTCGGTTAGTCGCTGACAGAAAGTCGAGTTGACACGACACACTCGCGGACCATGTGTGGATGAATACAGCGGAGTATGCTTTTCAATCGATCATTTAGTTCAAGACTACGTTACGGTCATAAAGAACTTATTCTCGGTACATGTTGGTCATTGATTTTGCTTAGGTTAGGTAGTGATGAGGCACATGAAATGATGTAAATTCCAACCGTAGGTATTTATTTATTATTCACATATCTCATATGAAAAGTTTTAAGCTTTAATTCTGACTAGTATAAGAGCTAATTCAGAATCCGTTTATGACGTGTATGTTCTAGATTTCAAACTAAGATATTGTCTCGATCGCATCAAATAACAAATGATTAGTTTTTTGATATTGAATATTGATTTCCAAATGTAATTACGTATTTGAAATTATTATTAAAACAAATCAACGTAGGCGTGGCTGAGCTGAATAAATTTGTGTTTTAGTTTATTTTCGTTCCGTATGGATATTAAACTAGTTTTATCTAGTATCGAATTTATCTATTTCGTGCATAGTTCTAATAAACAAGAGCCGATGACATCAAACACGCGTGCTAATTACAGCAAATTGGAACTCTGTCAATAAACCGATAATATTTCAACCGTATGCCTACCATACATTGTTGAAGCTGACATTAGTTTTCAAATTGTTAGTCTATTTTTTATACTTTTTTCGCTTTTAATTAAGTACGTCGTACTTTTATTTCTTAGCATAGTGTTCATAAAATATTTTAATGATAATTATTCCAAAGGGAGGTTAAAGTGATTCAATGTGCTAATTGAAATCAGGATTTTTAAATATTCCTGTCAAAGTATTCTAAGTTAATTTCGGCTCAGCAGCAGCGCTAATGATGTTGACAGTGGCACCCCCGCCCCGAACCCACTCACAAACTTCTCCCGCCGCCTCGCACTCCACACGAATCCCCTTCCTCAAATGGAACACTTCTCTAAAGCTCTCAAATCTTGTTATATACGCCATTTATCGACACTCGTCCCTATACGTCGTGAATTTATTGCTTTTTTTGTTGTTTCGCGTTAAAAAAATAAATGACGCGACGTCGCAATTACCGCGGAATGGCTTAGTGGGGAATGCTGTGATGGAATTTATGGATGCTATAAGTGCAGCATAAGCGAGGTCGTATCGATTTTACTTTTTATAGTTGATCATACCGTATTATACAGTCACCATGTCATAACCGCCATCAAATAAACTTACTTTTATTTAAATAGAACCGAAACTGTAGAGACGTGGGATAGTGGTCATAGGAGAATTTTTCAATGATAAATAACGTTGTTATTTTTGCACAGGCTCCATCATGTTCCACGTGCGGCGGCGGCCGGCGGACTCGCAGCCACGGCGGCGCAAGAAGAAGGCAGGTGGTGGTGCGCGGCCCGGCACCGAGCCCCTGCTGGTCGAGGTCGCCCCCGATGGCTCAGCCTTAGAGAACGGACGTAGGATGCGACTTGCAGATGTACTGGAGGTATCGCAATATTCAAACTTTATGGCAATTCCTTGTTAGGTGCAATACGTGTTCGAAGGCGGCTGCCAAGTAGGCACATTCCGGGAAAAAAATATAGCTATAATACAAATTCAAGACACATTTTCAAAATAATGCCACAAAATTAGAATTTTTTTTTTGCATAAAATCGCCATCGTCTAGTGCTTTTAAACTACACGTACTATTAATTTAGTGATGAGTAATTAAAAAAGGGTTTGGCGTGAACGTATGTACTGTCTGCAACAATAAATTATATGTATGTTGTGTCAGGTTATAATTACAGTTTTTATGATATTACTTTCTTTGTATCAGCTACGTTACGTAGCTTTGTTAATGAAAATTATAGTGTTTATTAACTTACGATATATTCTAGTCATCAAATGAGTAATTAAAAAAAAATGGTTACAACAATCTATAAGTAAGATTGTTATATTGTTCAAAGTGAGAGTGTTATTTGTTAACACATTACATTATTAGGTAGACGTAGCATTACCTTGTTACATGTTTAATCAGATTAGGTAACGTAACGCCGTCTACTAAGAGCTTTTGGCTCGCTGCTCTCGGATATTTCATTTCCTTGAACGTGGAAATACGATATTTGTTTGAAAGCTACTCCAATTGAATTTTGGTACGTAATCCTATAGTTGCATAATACTTTTTAACTTCTTATTCCATTATTTCTATGGTTTTTTAAATGAATTTGCAGTTGTACATACTTTTAAAACTTTTGATGTTTTTGATAATAAAAATGCCATTGACCGAATAAGCTCTGTTCATTTAACGTGGTACTCAAAAATAATAGAAGATTGGCTAAGCACTAAGATTTACATATTATAGTCTTAATCCCGCTAGAATTTTAATATTTCATATTCACATTGTGTCGCGTGGGACGTAGGTTTTACAATATACGTTTTATTGTGATACATTACACATTTACTGCGCTGTAAATTTTTGTCGCTTTGTGAAATAAAGCAAAGTCGTATGAAAAGATTTGGAATATTTATTACTTTCGTACTTCTGGAATTTCGGCGGCCTTGACATGTGAAATAGTCAAATATTTCCTTTTAGCCGTTCGTACCCGACAGCGGTTAAAAAAGAGTGGATTGTTCAGAATTTTTGAATAATGAATTTTAAATTTTACGTACTCGAACATTAAATTTTATTACTTACGTAAACTAACAGTTTTAAAAATAAATTATTAGGTATTATAAAACATATAAATCATAAATTTATAACCCACTGTTAGTTACGGATAATTACAATTAACAGTGTCTGTCTCTCGATGTATTACTAGATCCGTAAGTTCTTGTATATGTTTTCAGGTTGGTTCAGGGAATGGCACCGGTCTGCAGCTGTACGGGCCGTCGATCCAGCCGCGGCACTGCGTGGTGGCGCCCGCTGACGGCGGCTACAGCGTCACGCCGCTACACCCCGATGCTCAGGTCTACCTCAACGGACGCAGGGTCACACACACGCAGCGACTGCAGGTAGTTAAATTTTAATGATTCATCATTTATGAGATTTCCTATACAACAAAATAGGTTAGAAAATTCAAGCGTAGCGACGTCTAAGATGCGCTTTTTGGCAATAGTGAATCTCGTTATTTGTCAGTATCTATAATCAGTTGTGAAAGGAATTACTAGCTAACTAATATTAGCGTAGTTATCTGTTTTAACGGGTCGTACTAACAAAATATTTAAAAAATAGCAATAAACTTTAAAAATACATTGTATGTTATTAATTCAAATCGATTTCTGTACCTTCTAAGAGTGGAGGTTTGTAATTTTTATGCTTTAAAATATGTCGCTTTTACTCTAACATTTTTTTGGTACTAAAAATTATATAAGCTAATGTAAAAATATTAAGGTAACACGTATTTTATACATGACATAGGTACGTTCTGTTGAAAATGAGTTCGTACTTATGCTACTCAAATATGCAATTAGACTTTACTAGCACTAACATATGAAAGCTCGCTAGCTAACAGTTACTGACGGAAATGTTTATTTTTCTAGCATTTCTCTTTTCATTCTGTTTAGTTATGGTAGTCTAGTCTAGGAGATAGATGTATTGCACGAGTTCAAATGATTTAAAACAGGTATGCGTTTTTTTTATAATTGAACGATTTTTAAAACAGAAAAATAGCAAACGTTTTAAAAGTACATAACGTCACCAAACCCCACCCCATCCCTTACACCGCTATTAGACTTGCCCTCGTATATTTCCTAAAGCCACTCTATTAAATTATTAACGCGCCGAGAGGATGGCTTTTAGGCAGCTAATGCCCAAACTTTGTCGTCGATTTGGGACCTGTTTAATTAATAAGACTCCATTTTCAACAAAGAAAACCTTTGTTGTCTATTCATTACTCCATAATAGTCCATTTGAAAGCTTTAAAATGTTATTATGACATGACGAAATTTTAAAATTTAATTTGACCATTCTACAATAAGGTAAATATTGTACATTAGAAAATTTTGTTGTTGTAATAAACCGTCATGTATTTTTAAGCATGACTTTTTTTTTAATATTTAAAAACATTTATTATTCGCTGCTATATGATTTTTTTTTGATTATGTAATTTGTCACTTTATACCTATTGATAATATTCTAGTTTATCGCTGGTAGAAAATTGTTTACCCCGTCACCCTATTTACGATCCCCCGCCAGCGCCTTGCCGACGCCTTACCGACGCCTTTCGAAAATTAGCCTTAATGCTTTCAATAACATGTACAAAATTATTGAGACGTTTTATTATACTCGACCTTTAATTAACCCAGCTTATGTTCGTACTTTATTACTAGACTCGGCTTTTACTTTCATATCAGCTAATTGCAGGGCTATCAACTTTCAACAAATGTAGATTTCACACTGCTACCCAGAAAAATATGGACTAGTGACTTGTCAACCATTTATTCATTACAAAACAAAAAAAAATAGCAGATAAGTGACTTGTTTCACATCACTTACTCTGATCCGAAAACAGCCATGTCAAATACTAAGCTTGAAAAAGTATCGTATAAACTCAAATTCTATTTCGGGTTGGCCCGAACAGGTGACAACCCTAGCTACTCGTCATAAAATCTACGTTTAAAGGTCAGGCCAATTCACAAAGCTAAAGTAATTCTATGACTACACATGGTAGGGGTAGAGGTAAATTGCAGTTAATTACTAGTTATATGACCGTAAGAATGAATGGAAACAATTACAATGCCACTATTGAGTGTCGGGAAACAATAGTTTAGCTATTAAATATTCGCATACTGCGTACTTCTTCGATCACCAATATTTCCTCTAAAGCATACTAATCGTTGGTTCATAGATTTTTATGAACTATGAATCGGACTAGATTTAAAAAGCTAAAAGTTATTTATTTTTATTCTTTTATATGCTTTTCCGTTTATTTCTATGTTCTTTGAAAAAATCTGTCGTCAAATCATATTTCGAATGGCCGGTAGTTCTATTACTACTTATGAATTATATCAAAAATTGATAACATTATTTTATTTTGTGTCCTTTCTCAGCATGGTTGCCTGGTGAAATTCGGTCGCGTATCCACATTCCGCTTTGTGGACCCCGCGCAGGAGAACCTTATGAACAGAAACCTGGCGCAGTCACAGAACTACGGCTCCGGCTCCATATACGACAGGTTAGTTAGTAAAGGCATTTATTCGCCTTTTAAATGTTGTAGACAACTGTTCCATTTATTGTAGAATTTACTATCTTATAGATGTATAATTTCGAGTAGATGTTTCATTTGTACACTGCAACATTGTTTTCATTTTTTAAGCTCTAACTCCAATTGTAAAAATCCAAATCTGTTGCTTGTTAATCACCTCTTTTTATACTATTTCGTTATTATGTTTGTTCATTGTTGTTTTTTTTCGTTGCATGTTTCTGTCACTGGCTCACCGACATACGCTTGTTTTACCTTTAACGCGTTAGATCGCCCACATCGGCGGAGAATAGCGGCGCGATGTCCCCTACCTCGCTCGCGTCACATCACGCGGAACTCGACACCAACTCGAACGCGAACGTGACCAACGACACCGAGTACCCGGGCACCGCCAGCCCCGTGTCGCACGACGCCTTCGCTTACAGGGACGGCAACGACACTATGTCGCCCTACAACAACAACACGCTAAAACTGGACAACGAATCGCTCATGATGTCGCAGCATCTAAGCGACTCCAAGGACGAGTATATGAGGGACGAGCCCTCAGGCGCTGCGTACGGTGATCAGGAGCAGAGCGCCGCCGTCAGCCGCACCGGCTCGCACTACAAGGACAACTATGAGACCACTTTCGATCTTGACGGTAACGTCGAGACGAAGAGCATTTGCAGCGCCAAAAGCGGTGGTTCGGGACACGATAACAGGTATGGAATTATTTTTTGCTTGGAATTTTTAGCACTTAAATATTTTTTTAGGTCAACACTGCATTTACGTTTGTTACATTTTGTATTAAAAATGCATAAACTTAAGTTTTTATGGATGATGAGGTAAGTGCTACAATAAATACTGTTCCTACAAATACAGAGAAAATTATTCAATGATAGAGTGTAAAATTGTTGCGACATTTCCAACATGTAAAACATTATGGGGCATAATGGTGAGAAAGTCCAGGTGTGCAAGCCCGCCTGGCGCGCTGATAGCTGATTCCGTGTCGTCCTTTCTACCATAAATCATCAAATATTCGCCTATCGCTTGTTCAAAATTATACCTTTCATGAAATTCATTAGAAACTGAAAGTTCACAAACTTTTGTTTGATATAATTTTAATTATATTTTCAATTGGTGTTTGAAGTTGAAAATCGAACTATTAAACCGCGTTTTATCGACGTCCTGACCTCAGGACGTCAATAAAACGGATACAATATGGTATGGTGGTTGCGTGTGTGCAGGGTGTCGTCGTGCGCGCGGCCGGGGCAGGAGGCGATCCTGCCGGCCGTGCTGGAGTTCCCGGAGGCGGGGCAGGCGCAGTTCCTCGCCGCCGTCATCACCAGGCTCGACCCGCACGCGCCCGCCTTCAAACTAGCACCAGTGTACACATTATATTTGTGTGCCAGGTACTCTAAACTAATTAAAATATCACTTCAAATGCTTTCTGTATTTTTGGTTTAAAATCGCACATGACTGTCTTTTTAGCAAATCTAAATGATTAAGTACTTGTAAAGCGGTTGTGAAAACGTTAGTTTGGTATTCTATTACTGACTCAGAGTACTGGCTCTACTGTAAAGGACTTTTTTGTGTTGTTTAATTTTGTTGTTTGTGTTTAACGTTGAATTTGAACTCTCTAGATACCGCGCATCGACTCACTACCGGCCTGAGTTAACGCCGACGGAACGCGCCCACAAGCTGACCGCCTTCTTGCACCACGTCGCTACACTCATACATGCCACCGTACAGGTAACTCTACCTACATTAAAAAACCACAAAGATTGTATGAAATTATCTATTATATAACGTCAACTAACAACAGCTGGTTCCTATATGTTAAAGTAATGTGTATGTTAGGAGCGCTGCACGGACTCGGCGGCGCAGGCCTTCTGGATGGCCAACGCGAGCGAGTTGCTCCATTTCCTTAAGTGCGACAGACATATCTCCTCCTTCTCCACGCAGGCGCAAGAGTTACTGCCACAGACTGTGCAGAACGCATTCAGGTACACTTCATCTATCATTATTTATTACAAATACTAATAAATCTTCGTGCGTTCTGTTACATCTTCGCATTGTACATACGTATAAGATGATAATATCAGTATTTGATGTTACAGCAATCTAGTGACGTGTTTCCAAGAAGAGCTGGGCCGCGCGCTGGTGACGCTGAACAGCCCGGCGGGGGGCGGGGAGGGCGAGGCGGGGGACGCGACCGAGGCGACCGCGCCCACGCTGCAGGCGCTCGCTGCCGCCATGGTGCTGCTGCGCCGCTGCCGCGTCAACGCCGCACTCACCATACAGCTCTTCTCACACCTCTTCCACTACATCAACGCCTACTGCTTCAACAAGGTTATTACTAAAAATATACGCATCATGCCTCTATTTCTTAATGTTTCTTGTACTTTAAACGTATGTGTACGTTATTATTTCTTCATCAGTTGGTGTTGGAGCCGGGCACGGTGAGCGCGCGCTGGGGCGCCGCGCTGTCGGCCCGGCTGGC